ATCCATTCAGTTATTAAATGAGTAGGATTAAGTTAAGTAAAATTATTTTTCATAAATCATTTTGAATTATTGTATCATTCAATTTGGTGTGAATACATTCAATATAAAACCAATAAACTAACTAGTGGGGTGTATGGCATCGTGCCTTAAGGCAAATTGCTGGAACTTCCCGTACCGTAACGAAATGTTCGAGGAATACTGATTGTTTTCAAATAGATTATTATTAATATTGTAACATTGTCTAATATTTATAAGAATTATATAAACTGAATTGCAAAGTTCAAATTATTTGTTTAAAGTATATTAGAACTATAGTCAGAATTATACAAAAAAAACTGAATTATTTTCGATAAACAAAAATTTTTTTCTTTGAAAAAAAAAAGTTGAAACAATTTTTTTTTTCTAAAATCAATTATTTTTTGAGACAAGCAGAAAGATCTTTGAATCATTTAAATCGGACGCTTAGTTCTCTCAAAAACTGCAATTTTTTACACATTTAGCTCGGTATATTTGAAATGGCTGGGCCTGCCTTTGCCTAAAACTAATAAACACCTCTCCCAATCATTTCTAACTGAATGTTTTTTAGATCATTCAAATCGGATGCTCCGTTCTCTCAAAAACTCGATTTCTATTTTTTGCACTGTTTGCTCTTTATCTCCGTCACTGCTAGACCTGCTTCTGCAAAAACTAATCAGCTCATCTCCCTATCAATGGGAATCGAATGTTTTTTGAACCATTCAAAACATACATACACACACATCCATTTCTTCTGAGGTATGCCAAAATGTTCAGAAACCTTTAAAACGTCGAGAAATGTAAATATTTTCAATTTCGATTTTCGGCCCATTACAATAACTTACCCTACGGGAAGTTAATTATATGTATAATAAACATAATCGCAAAACAAAAATACAACATCAACAGCACATAGTTATGATTACATCATATGTATAGAAGCTAGGAGCCTAGTTACCCGTGTTTATTGTCGTTACTACTTTGCCCGATAGATGATTCACCTTGCACCAAACAAAGGTTAAGTAGATGAACTAAACTTTTGGTAGAGGTATAGTTAAAGCATCTATCTAGCATTATTTTGAAGTAATTTAATCCGTAGGTCATAAGAAAAAAAACTGTTGCAATCAGCTCACATAAAATGAATCTAATATCAAAACTTCATGCAGATGGATTTAAGTAAATAAAAAGGGAGTAAAATCCTAATTATCACTTCAATGACTGATAATTTTAGTTTTTAGTAAAATATATGTTTTTTTTTTATATTATTCATCTTATAAAAATGTTTTAGAACGTTTAGATTTTTTTAAATGGGACAACAATGCCCACTTGGGATGATCTTGACAGTTCAAATGAAGAATGACCCGAGGGCGCATAAAGAAAACGCTTTATTTTCTTTATGTGGAGATCTGGGCGGGTGTATTTTTTGTTTACCAGAGTTTTGAACGAGAAAATGGAAAGTTATTAAATATTATTAAATAAATAGACACATGAGATTTTATTTAAGATTGTACCTTATATTTAATATTGATTTTGAACAACAGAAAACATTATCATTTATATTTATTTTTGTTAACGTAAAACATGTTTGTATATATGCATATGTCAAAAAGTACTCATTGCTTTTCATTGTAGATTAATCTCATTTCTGAGATTTGGAACAAGCATTGCATAAATAAACTACTATGGTCCATTTGATCAAAGAACAGCAGAACATGAAATTTTTATATATGTTTTAGCATGCTTTTATTGATGCAATCTGTTGGTATCATTAATAAACTTTGTGTAATAATAATAAAATTTATGTTAAAAACGTATAAGATTGAATATTTATATTTGATAGAAGAGTTATAAGAATACCTCACAACATTTGAATAAAATTTAAAAAAAAAACTGCAATATTTTACGATATCAGGTCAGCAAAAATAAATATTAAACACAAAACTTGAAATATAAAATGAAATTTAGACAAATTGTTTAAGCCAAAAATTCTTTGGTGACTGAAACCTATTTATTTTTTTTTAAATAACAAGAATTATTTGCAAATTAAAAATAATATATTTATCATTGTATCCATTAGGTATGGATATGGCTATGGTCTCGATTGGTCAATATAACCATAATATATTATTACCATGTATAATTTTCAGTTATGGCACAATATAATCAGTTATTGAAGTTCTTGCTTAGTACACGTTATCATTGAATTTGCATATGTAAATCGACAAGTACTCTTGAAGCTGCCATAAAATAAACATTTCCTATAATACATAATTCATAATTGATTTTCAAAACAACATTAAGCTAGTAAAATTGAAGCCTAGAGTTGAATTCTGATATTAAATAATTATTTTCAGAATTATGAATATCTAATTCAATCTAATGTGTATTTATATACATATATGTATATTTTATAAAATAGTTATTAATTTTTTTTTCTAATTTTAATTGAAGTTCGAAGTTTTTGAAAAAAAAAATTATAATTATCACATTAATTTTTTTTTTATTTCTGATTCATTGAATATTTTTTAAACTAAACAAATCCTTTTAATTATTATTACTGTTATAAAATATGTTCTGGTTATCTATGTATTCGAGTTAAAATCAGTGATTCCTCAACTCTTCAATCTTGGGAATTTCATATGTATGTTCTATGGGTATCTTTATATCTAATATTTTAGGTATAACAATAAAACTGGCGATCGAGCCAAAAACTCCGGGTAAAAAATGAATATAAAAGTCATGTAATATCAAAAACACAAGACGCATGCAAATGAAAGCACGCAGATATCACATGAGGAGGCCTTTTGTATGTTACTAAAAGATGTAGCTGTTTTTTCTCAGAAATATATTTAGGATGGTTGAGGGGGTTGGGGTTGTAGATATTTTGTCATTTTCTGTATATTTATTGCGATTCCGAGAACGTGATATGAGGATATATGCGAGCAGAATCGAATTAGGCGAATAATGTGCACTTTTATCTTTACTATGATTATTGTTATAGTAGCACTTATATTATTCAGATAGTATATAATATGTATTTGTAAACTTTAAAGCCGTGCATAATATGCATTGATTAAAACCTATGAAATAACAATTATCACGAAAGATTTAGAATGATTTGAAACGTCGAGAAAACATCGATATCGGTAAGCCTTAATATGAAATTGTTTTATAATTACATAAAAAATAATAAACATGCATACATTTCATGCATTCGAACACATGCTCCTCAAATTAAATATTTGCATCGTTCCTATCCATTTCATTTGCACTGGGTGCATTCATTAAGATGTTAAAAAACCACGTTGTTTTATGGAAAACATCCAAAAAAGCGATGAAAGTATAATTTTAATCTATTTTTTCATAGCAGTGTTTTCATAAAACGTTTATATAAAGCTGCTATGCAAATATTTAATTGGATTCTATTGCAAATATTTAATTGAAAACTGAAAAAAGTATAATACCTATTTCAGGAACAAGGTATGATCTGCAACCATAAATGCTAATGGCTCCGGATAGAAAACTCTGGGGCATTCATCACTTTGTTAAAACTTGCAGCTATCTATAAAAAGTATTTTCTATTAGTACAGCATAATTTCTATTTCATTACAAAATTAATAAAAAAGATAATTTTTCTATCTATGTACAAAAACACAATTAGTAGATAACAAAAAAATATTTCTGAGCATATAAACAAAATATTATTCAAATATTGTATTAATATAAACTCAATAAAGATAATATGCAAACAATCTTACTATAAACTAATGTAAATAAAACATTATCACTAAAATTCAGTATTTTTCAGGAGCAGTACCTAATTATGAATCGTTAGTTACTTAGGCGGGCATAGAATTTATAAAAATTTAAAAATATATATAAAAAATATCTAAAGAAATTAATGTACAAAACGTGTAGCCTATTTTCAATAAATGAAAATTAGAAGAAAACAGTAAACGCTTGGAGCAAAATCATCAAAACAAAACACATTGTTTTACTTCAGATGTAAACACTCAAATCCTCAAAAATTGTTTTTGATGGAATAATTCTGAAATCTGTTTAAGCTACAGTCATGATAAACTTACGATTTCAGCAACTTGTAATATTTTCCAGACATATTTCAATTTTTATATATTTTGAAATAAATGTTTCTATATATATATATATATATATATATATATATATATATACATTATAGCTCATACATCATAATATAAGTACCGAAATATTATATTATTTTCTATAAATAGTAAGAAATTTTAGAAGATCAAAAAATGCAAATGGCTGTAGGATGGCTTAAGCCAAACAAAATCAATAAAAATGTTCGTCATAATTTTTTTAAATTCCAAAATATTATATTCGAAGTAAGAATAAAATAAATAAATCTACAATACCATAAGTTGTAGATTTACATGTTTCAAAGGTCATTGAGTAATTAAAAGTTTTCCATTCAATATATAAATAACTAAGAGACCAAGAATATTATTTAGATTCATATAAAATATATTGCAAAATGAATCTGTGTACTAGATTTGGAAGAAATGACAGTTTTGTTGAAGTTCCAATTTCATTGAAACTGCAATTATATAATAAATAATAAACAACAATTATCGGAGAAATTGAAAGTATTAGCTTACTTACTCATAATAAAAACAGCAATGATGTATTATTAGTATTGCACAGATTAAAAAAACACTTTTATATTACTATAAAACACTTTTACCGAAAAACCACGCTACGAATCATGACGCTTACTAACGCGTACAAATTCACTAACTGATCATGGCATTATCAAAAATCTTGAAAAGTATTGCCTGATCAAGAAAAATGGTGCACATTTGTTGTACATCAGGTAATTTTGCAGAAAAACTATTTATGATAGTGCACAACAGATGTCAGTAAAACTCATTGAATTGATTATACGAGTTTATTTCTTTATAAGCATCAAACTTGTCCGTACACTTTATTACTGATCGATACGAATAACCAAGAAGCCCTGAACTCTCACAATTAGTGGTACATTTGTGAACAGTTTATTGGCGTAAATATTTTTTAATAAAAGTGTGATCTTTTTATCATAGTCACAGAAGAGTCAGTATACAATCAATTTAATACTTGCTATTCTTGTTAATTTGTGTTGTTCGGTTTTTGACATGTCAAAAATGTATATTGCCATAGTGCATCCTCATACCATGGCCTATTCGTGCTGTTATATTTAATGAATGGATATGAAACAGTAGGTTAGCTATTTTATTTACTTATATTGATACAGATTATTTGCTTGTTTTAAATAATTATAGTAATTTTCTACTAAATGAACTTATATTGAATCACACAACTTTTATTGATGTAACGACCGATTATGTATATATATATATATATATATATATATATATATATATATGTTTCTTAATTTGAGGACTAAAATCATGCTCTCATAGTTAAAAAATAAATTATTTTATTTCATTCAACGTTCCGGGAATACGGTAGTTTTTCATCACATTTACGTGAATTATACCAACAAACATCAAAACGAAATTTAAAAACTAAGTTTGTATAATTTCGCAAATATAAAAATATACATATAAAATTATGTATTTTATGCAATCGAACTTTATAACTTAAATTAACTATCAACTTTTGCAATTTTCTTAATTCAAATGAAATAAGAGTATGAATTTATATTACCAGATCTCTGGTGTTTTCTGTTTCTAGAAAAATTTCCATGCATTCTTTGTCGTTATATTAAAAAATTTGAATGATGTACATTCTTCGTCTTGCACACACAAAATTACATTACATGCATTGTCCTGACTCCGACGTTGTATGCGACCGTTATGGGTCCCCCCAAGTACCTCCCGAGTAGTATGAATGTAATAAATTTCTATGTAACATCATATGTGGAGCAAATACGTCAAGTTATATTGAATTGGGAATACGGGGGATCCGTTTTGAAAACTGGCTTTGAAACACAGCCAATATTGGACTTCGTTGTGTTAAATAAACATACATGGAGCATGCAGGTTCAAATCCTAACTTAAATATATAGTTGGATTTTGTTTATTTTGTATCGCATCGTAGACAAATATTATTTGATTTCATGATTTAGCATATTCTATCTGTGGATAGACTGTCCTATACTACATGATTATGCAATAATTTTCTTATACCTAAAATCCACTTATTTCTCAAAAGTATAAAAATATATAAAACTGATAAAAAATTGTTACTATTCTGATTGTAGCATAAATATATAAATAATAAGTACATAATAATAAATAAATAATTTGTGCAATGTCTATGTATTATAATACTATTATAGCTAATTGATATCATTTTGTAAAAATTCTTTAGTGCCTTTGATCATACTTATAGTGCTTATTATAGTAAACAACTCATTTGAATTTGAAAATACACTTTTCTCACAGAACACCAGCTTCTACTAAATACTTGAATATTTGGGCCAACAATATTTTCCTTAAAAATTTCTAATAGTTCAGTACTTAAAAATGTTCTAAATGAGTTTCAAGTATTAAAATAATTCTCGAAATGTTTATACATTATATTGTGATTACATCTGACGGTTAACTATTATATTCAAATTTAAGAATAATATACCTAATTATGGAATATTTTCAATAATATTGTAGTATTTGTTTTTAATAAATTCTATTTGCAACCATAAAAGACTTTTAACAAATCAAATATTTACAAAATATTATATAATAATATAAACGCAAAAAACGCATGAATTAGTTCATTTATAATTAAATGAGTTTTTATACTGAAACTATTGACTACTATTTATGTAATCAATTTTTTTTTAGTTTCACAAAATCAGTCCATATCCTTAGTTCTGTATGCAATAATGAATAAATTTTGACGTTGAAACCAAGGGCAAATAAAATATTTTGATTACAAATTTTCGATTATAATGTAGAATTTGTTTATCATATAATAAAATATTGTCTATAATACTGTAGTGTTTGTTTACTTTGAACACAATTTGCAACAGACAATTAGTTTGAATTAGCTAACAACAAACTGATAATCTATAATTTCATTTACGTTTACGTTCTATCGCAATAGAATGTTCCGGTTATTTTGAAAACTGTTTATCTTCATAAATATTTTAGATGCTACATATTTGAAGTAGTTATTTACGGAAACCAGCATTTTCGAAATTCAATCGGCAACCGAAAATGATTTTCAACCGAAATCGAAGTCGCAAAGAGTTATGGCGCTATTAAATACGCAAAAGCAATAAAATAAATTGAATCGCGTCATCTATAACGAATCAACAATATTTTCTATTTTAGATAAAATCTTAGATATTAATAAAACGAATAAAGAATATACTTCCAGTTCAACTGTTATGGATGTTCGCTTCGTCCCCATCCGTACGAAACAAAGTTACCAAACTGTGCAGTCAATGAAGCGAAAGATAATCTAGCTAACGGATACAAAATAAAAGATTTTCAATAATAGAACTCGCTACAGTGTTTCAGGATTATATATTTGATAAGACATTAGAATGCATTCGTAGTGTGAATTTAATGGCCGCTATTTCGCTGAAGTTAAAGATTTTCTGCTTTATTGATTTTGGATTACATACTAAATAATCAAATAAGCAGCGATGCAAAATTTTAATTACTTTGCAATGTAACTTTTTCATAATAACATAAAGCGGTAGGAGATTATTTCTTAATTTGATCAATACTTCCTAAATAAATGGTTAAACAAAATTATATTACCGTGTTTGACTTTGAATATCCATAAACTAAACAAGAGTTAGTGGTGCAAATAATACCTTCTTTGCTGAGATATACTTGTTATTTATATATTTGTTTATAACCTCATATTAACAGCAATCAAAACCTTACGTCTTGTATGCTTTTGGACTAAAACTCATCCTTACGTTGTATTTTTAGATGGCAACCCAACGGTTGATTCATCCATTTGATTAGTTTCTTATTAGGATTTATCTAATAAGGCTGACTTGTTATTCAATTTGATGCAACAATGACCGAGAAGGGTTATTTTTACGTGGCAATATATTTAGGATCGAACTGCAAACCACAAATACCTCCTGCACTTTATATGAATTTATTTAGTTCTTGAAATTATGACTCCAATTTTGGTAAATTTATCAACTACAACAAATATGGTAGACGAGCAAAATGTTCTTTATTGCAATTCTAATATATACGTTCAGACACTTAATGTGTGCATCCAAAAATCAAACTAGGAAAAACCAAACCATATATATATATATATATATATATATATATATATATATATATATATATATATATATATATATATATATATATATATATTGTATATATATATACAATACGTTCCTAGAAATTAAGTTTTAAATGATTATTATTTCTTATTATTTGATGCTACTAGCATCAAGTTATACATTGATATCTATCGTTTTAATAACTTGTTACAGTTGCTCGAATAATAACCATTGGTTCAATACAAATGTACAACAAATACAAGCATAATCATTGTTTGTTCTAAGAATAAAAGCGTAACACCCTATTAATTTAACCCACAAAACAAAATTCGTTCGGTCGTTATTTTGCGCGATCACAAAACCGCCCACCGCGGCGTCTGCCTGTGCGATAAATCGTCGCCGTTGCGATATTTCGAATTCAATTCCGATAAATCATGCAGAAAACAAACAACGGGATCCTCCTAGCGTTCCAGCAAAACAATGCCTCGAATTTTGGAATGAGAGATTTAACGAAACGTACATAACATCGAAATTTTTAATTAAATGTTTTTAAACTCGATATCAATGTTATTTGAGCCGGGCGAAGCCGTCGGCGGCGTTGCAAATAATATTACATAATTATAATAAATGTGGGTACTGATAAGGGTATCGATATGTTTGAAGAGTCACACAATACAAATTTTTGTATTATATTGAAAATATTTAATATAAGGCCCTACGTCGATTATTGATAAAGAACTGTTTACTTACAATGCTTCACAGATTCTAAAAAGTTGAATTTTTTGGAAAGATATTAGTAGGGGCTTAGTGTGATTTGTTATTATTATAGATGGACTGAGTTGTTTCTTTGTGAACAATAGTTCTATTTTTTATCACTATAATAAAACCTTTACTTAAGTTATTCGAAATATCATATTTTAACTCCCTACACAACCGTCAGTATAAAAAGCTAGTGAAAAGCTGTTCATAAAAAGATACTCGACTAAAAAATTCCAAAAAACGAATTGAAGATTTATAACCTGACCATATAAAATATTTTATATTTATATACGTATGTATGATGCATACAGGGTTTGCTGTTTATACGGCAGATTAAAAAAGGTTACTCTTATATGGAAAGTTGGGACTGTGGAATAACGTAGATTTACTATACTTATTTTTTATTGATGCTATAAAAATATTTTTCTTTATTAATACTAGATATGAATATATTTTATGCATAAGAAATATGATGATATAGACATGTAGCGGTTTATGGAGATGCTGCAGAGTTTTTGATTTTGCTAGAATAAATTTTATCTTTATTAGAAGTTAGTAGCTTTTTTAGAAGTTTGAAAAATCTGATATACATACTATATTTGGCTAAAACGTATTGCAATTTTAAATTTGGATATCAAACTCACTAAATCTTAAAACCTCAGAATATCTATAAAATGAATGGCAATTCTTAATAAAAAAAATATTATTTTACTGAATCATCTGGATAGATAAATCTGGTCATAAACCTGTAAATGTAAAATAATATTCAATAGTAAAACTCAAACTTATTTTATTTGAACTAGTCGTCCATAAGTTGAACTGTAGCAATTCTGAAGCGTTTATTTACCGTGAAATATACATCGTTGGTTTTTAGTATCCAGTTTTCATGTTTCACGTTTTGCACATATATGCGTGCGTTGAACACATATCATATTTTCATTTTATGAAAAACTATATTTTCACAAGTCAAAGTGTTATGGACCGTATGTGCAATAAAAATAAATAAAAAGAATTGATGTTTTCATTGAATAATATTTGACAGTGTTGTTTCTCCTTTTGAGTAGGTACTTGGTTTTGTTATTTCAAAGATTTTTTACCTTAAGATAAATTTTGTTTCTTTTACTTGAAAAATATCACCTAATTTTTTCTCAATTCATTCGACAGGCAGAATTATGAACTGATAGAGAGGTCAGGTGGTAAACAAAGACAAACTAGTAAATTGGTATACAAGTA